CGAAACAGGCACTTCGCCGCCAGGATCTCTGGATGGCACGTCTGGCAAGCCCCGCGCGTCGCTCTCCACCGCATGACAAGTGTTTTGCCCGAGGTATAATGGGCGTTGCAAAGTCGCAAGCAGTCTCCCATCGGCCGCGTGTCACGCATGGGCCGTGTGACACAAGACAGCTGAATCGCACCAGCGGACGGAAAGAGATCATCGCGCTTAGATTCGCGCAGGCTAGTCTGCAGGCGCGCGTGGCTTGGCTTGGACTCACACATCATAATTCGTCTGATTTACAATTTTGAATCCTGATTGTCATCATTCTCAATTGATGTTTGGCGTGAGTAGCTCATGCTCAAGTCCATCTGGACACCACTACGTCATAATGGTGTCCTTGCGATGAGGGTTAGAGGTTAGAAGTCCTTGAAGCCGGTCGGGCCGAGTCGGGAGGCGGGCAGCCGACGTGCACAGGTGGTGTCGAATGCCCGACAGGTTGGTGCCAGGGCGTGATGCTCTTGTCGAATCACGAGTACGCTTTGCTACCTTGATTGATCTTCATGCAGAATTGCGACATTCAAATTTCGCGCTTCGTGAGCATGATTCAAGTCTATATAGGCGGGTGCGGACGAAGGGGCGACGTAGCAAGGACCGACATTTTGCCTGCCGTGTATTCCTGCGCGCGCGGCGGTCATCAGGTCCATTTCCGCAAAACAAGCCACACAATTAATTTATGCGTCATAGTTTCACGCCCCACCGAGTCGCGATATGCTGCAAGTCTTCTGTGACCAAACTTGATCCATTCACGATTCACGATACGTGACTGCGCATTCACAGCTCAATCACCCCACAAGTCAAAGGTAGCCGACGCGATCGAGGATCAGCGGTGTGCGGTGTAGGTATCGTGATAGGTGAGTGGATCTGGCTTTCGTTTTGCGCAAATGAAGGAACATGCTTTGTAAATCGACGTAATCCATACCCGATGCGCCTTGATACGGAGATTTGGGGAGAAGACATCGCCAACTACGGTCGAATCATCACGAAAGCTCCTCCAGTCTGTGTCGTCCCGCGCACTTGCTTTCGCCGCGGCGCTTTTTGGTCCGGTTTGCCGACGGGCGCTTGACAGCAACGCGGGGGATAGGGATCTGCTGATCGTCTGAACACGGATCTAGCGCTTCGCTATACATTGCTGAGTCGTCTCTGATGCGCCCGCGTCCAAGCACGTCAACTTTGCAGTCTTGGGTTTAAGTCGACAGCTGCCAAGAGCCGACCAACCAGCACATGGTCCCAGTAAATTGCGAACGATCGTCTGAGATAAGAACAGGCTTCTGTGGTGTTCTATGGTGGGCTGCGCAGCATTCGTGATTCACGTTCAGCTAATAGATTCACGATTACGATTTGACACCTGCTGGCGAGGCAAGAAATGGGCCCACTTTTGAGGAATGCCACTCAGCTTTATCCAAGCATGCAAGCACATATGCATTGTTCCTGGCGGACTCTCAATTCGGGTCGCGAGCGATTATCGTCTGCGTCAGCTTAGACATGCGACTGCCAAAAGTGGAAGTGCCCTCTAAAGACGACCCTCTGCGTTTATGCGTGGCACACAATGGTCAGTACGAGAGCGACCGGCGTGAGCAGACAAAGATCTGCGTGCACCATCATCATCATCCCAAATCACGAATGTATTGGAGGCCACGATGACAGCGCCAGCTTTGACACAGTCTCGAAGGGGCGGCACACACAGTCGCATCGTGTTGGACCGATCGGCCAAAGCACCCAGCGAGAGGAACAGCCGCGGAACTTGTCAAAGCGGGCATATGTATGTGCCAACTCGCGCGCTTGAACTCGGGACTGTTTCGATGCGCGGTCATCACGGGTGAAGCCGGCAGTGCGAAATACTCATCTGCCGGGTACGTGCGCAGCCGGACATCGTGACAGCATTCTTGATTGCTCAGGCCTGCCACCTGCGAGGGGTGACATGTAAGTCGCGGGTGACTTGCTGTCTAAGGCCACGGTGGTTTCAGAGTGAGCATGGCGTGATATCTCGGATACGTAAAGCTATGCTATGAGGTAGGCGTGCAAAGGCTTGCGGTCTGGCAGCCCCGCACAATCCTGTGAGGACGCGCAGCGGCCGAGGATGAAAGCGAGAGTGATGTTGGGAACGAATGAAATGTGCTGAGATGTTGTCTTGGCAAGTACTCTATGGAGGCCTTGGATGTGTAGGCAGGGGCGAAGGGAGCATTATTCATCACCTGACGCAGCTCCATGCTCTCGATTCACGATCAAGAGAGTCGCGGCGGCTTGCACCAGGTATGGCAGTACGACCCACGCCGCGCTACGCCGGCCGGCCACAATCTGGCCGTCAGCAGTGGTCGAGACGCTATGCCAGACATTGCCCGTATGATCGCCTTCCCTGACTTCGACCTCGTTCGCTGCAGCGACGAAGGCCGAGCACTTGTCGAGCACCAGCTGCCAGCGGTCCTTCTGCGTTCTGTCCACGCTATGTGCCACATCGGGGGACGGGACATCGCGCGTATTCAGAAGGCTAGCACCAGGTCCGAGCAAAGCGTCGATAGTGCGCTTGACAACGCCAGAGTAGCGGGCTCGCAGAGTGTCAAGAGTCGTGTTGCTTCTTGCCGCCGTTGCCTCCACACCAGGTGGTCCTCGCGCGATGCAGCCCATAAAGATTTCCGCCTCGGAAAGTGGGCCGTCTCTACCGCTTGGCGAGCACTCCACGGAGATCAGATCGACGGAGCGGTAGTACTCCGCGATGATGCGACGGACGTAGGGAAGGTGTGCGCGTACCTGCACTGCAGAGTGAAAGGGATCCAAGTACTTGCGCAATTGACTGTTCCAGTCATCTTGTGGCACCTCTTTGGCTTTGCTTGAGTCGTCGCCGCCTGGGCTGGCCGAGCGCGACATGCCAGGGGTGCTGATGGGCTCGTGAGCAGAGGTGAGGAGAGCAGGAGGTCCATCGACAATGGGCTTGTCTAGCGCCCTGTATAGGTGTCCCAGGGCCTTTCCAGATGCGTAAAAGTTGAATCGTTCGCGAGGCTCCGAGCGCATGGCTGCAGGTGCCCACTCGACTCGGAACTCTGCTTGCATAAAGTCAGGTCGCAAGCGTGGCACGGGTGGGCAATCCTTCGTATCGACCGGAATACCAGTCTTGGGAAAGTCCACTGCTGTGCTGTGCATGTGAGCGAGCTTCACGCAGTCTCTATCGAAGACCCCATAAGGTGATGCGTCTGCCAAAATCAAGTGTCGGGTGGCGACCAGACCCAGCCTGTCCGAGAACAAGAAGTCGACGAAAAATTCGATCATGTCTGGCAAGTGGACCATGTGAGCTTGTTGCTGCGCTGAGGACGTGTGGGTGATCATGGCCAATCTGCTCACCTGCTACGGTGCACTCTCTATCGAGATTGCGAGGTACAACGCGGGGATACTTGGCCGGTTCCTGAGTCTTGACTGTAAGCAGCGAGGGATGTTGAATGACGTTGAACAGATCTGCGAAAGCATCCGATCCACCTCAGTCAGTACGAAACAGATGTTGTTCTCTTTCGAGGCGCCAGCTGTACACACCTCCATCCAGATCCCCGCCCGACAATTTCGAAGGCAGATCACGTTTGCCCTTGGTCGAAAAGACGATGCAATTCCGAAGAGCATTCAGCTTGCTCTCTCGAGGGGGCAACACCGCTTCTGCATACTGCACGTCTCCGGGATGCAGCATAGGCGATCGACCCAGCAAGCATTTTCCGCGCAAGACAATGTTCCGGGGGCGCACGATGCCATCGCGAGGTCCGTCAAAGACTTCTACGCTTGCATAGACTTGCCCTTCTTCCAACCAGCCCGTCTCGTCAGCGACCCCATAGAGTGTATAGCACCCCTCCAAGACGGGTATGCGAGTGCGGTACTGTGGGGGTGAACGGACTAAACTTGCTTGAGCGCCTGGAGGGACCACCGCGGCATCGAAAGCATCACTCACTTTCATGTGTCGCGTTACAAAGGCCTGAAAAGCGCGATGAGCATCGTACAAGAAGGGGACCTTCTCTCCGTCAAGCGTGTCAATGCCGATACGCCGCAAAGCATCAAACAAAGCTGCAGCGCCTCCTGGTGGATGAGCATTGTAAAGTTTGTACACCTGAGCAGTCAAGGTGAGGTTGGTGGCAGAGTAGCGCAAGTGGCTGACAGCCTCGCTGAGCAGCTCCATGAAGCGCTCTTTAGGCACGCCCAGCGTTTCAAGCATCATGACCATGGGTCTATTCAGAAACATTGGCAGGGGCCCATCGGGCGCGTTGGCTATTTCGAGATAAACGTGCTCATCGTCGGCTTGAGAGGCTGACTTCTCAAATTTGACCATGCTAGGTCGCAGGCGGACATGGCCGGGAGGGAGGTCTGTGTCTAGAGTGACCATACCTTTTGCACCTCCAAGACGAATTTGAAAGACGCTCGCGGGCGAGTACTGGCTGCGTCGTCCGCCCCGAGCGCTGATGATCTTGCCTCTGATCTGCTCGACTAAATCGGATGAGATGGTCCCAACTCCATCAGTGAAGCAGTGCCCTTTGCGCTTGATATCATCTATAAGGACCACGTTGGTTTTCTTCACTGGAATCGTGAACATTGTCGACGTGAACGCTTGGCCCATACTGTGTTACGGCGGACGCATTCGTTGAGCCGCGATGCAACTCAGGTACGTGCCCGAGCTGGGTTCGAACTCACCGAGCAGCGTATCGAGCGGGGCATCTGATAAAGGCCAAGTCGCCGATATTGTTGCGAATGCTGTCTGCCGTGACTTTTTTGCTGTCGTACGAGAAGCGATGGACCATCCAGCAAGTACCTTCCTTGAGCGAGCTATTGCTGAAGGCCAGGTATCGCCAAGTCCTCCCCGCCACATCCAGTCCCTTTTCCAGCGCGTTTCGAAAGATCCATTTGAGCGCGTCCGCATTGACGCCTTCGATTCGCATGCGAAGACGCGTCGAAGCCCCTTCATCCACCATCTGAAGACGAAGAAAATGCGCATCGCATCCTACAAATTGTCGCACGATTCGATTGCCCGCATCAGGTGTCGGGCCAGATAGAGACATGGCGCCAGAAGGCATAAGTCGAACGCTATGAATCCGAAATTGCGCCGAGGAATCGATTTGGGGCAGAGGGGCCTTTTCCAGCTCTTCGGCCAGATCTTTGACCTTGGCGGGCAACAACCGCTTGTAGGCCTGACGAGGCTGCGCGGCTTCGTTGACGGGGCTCTTGTTACGAATGAGTCGCGCGGAAAAGTTTTCCAACAGTGCTGCCGCTCTTTTGGGCCCATCCACCACATCCTGTATCGAGGCGCGTTTATCGAGCGCTGTGAGCTGTGGCGCAAGGCTAAGCGCTTCCATAGGCAGGATGAGCCCATCACGAACAATGCGTTCCAGTTGGAAAGCCACATCGAAGGTAAGCTTGGTGTAAAGCTCCCTCAATTTCCTCAGTGTGCTCTCGGTAAAATGCTCGAGGGGTCCCGTCGCGACAGACGACAAGCTTGCCGGCTGCGCTAGTCGGGGCCGCACAGACGCGATGAAGCTGTGAATCTCTTGGCGAGGGCGCAGCGCTTTGAGACAAATGACGTGGGCATAAGGTGCGACCAGGCCGTGCCTCTGATCGAAAAATGGGATCCTCTGATACTCTGGCGGGCCTGCGGGATCTTCTTCATCGTCATATTTGGAGTACTCGTCCCATCCCGTCAGTGCGCGGACCGGGTCGTTTGGTAGTATGAAAGCCGGAGTCCAGCGCAGCTCCAAGTACAAGTGTTGGCCGCAGATCATGGATCGCTTAATATTGCGCAGATCGATCTGAATGATCCCTTGATCCACGTGCAGGTGCATCCGCGCCTCATCGATAAGCAGTACAGCCCCCGATCCATTCTCCTATGGGTGTGGGGAGACGGAAGCGTGCTCGTCAACGCACGCACCCCACGGGCAGAGTGACTCCCAGCTGAATGCAAGACTCACTCGATCTTTCGCTTTCCATGCCGGACAGAATTGGCTCTTGTCGTCCCATGCACCGCAGGTCAGGCCGCTGAATGGCAGGTCCGTGGGCAAATCCACCCCTGCATCCCCGACGTAGTCATCATCATCGATCGGAGATGCGAGGGCGAGCCAAGCATTGTTCTCGGGTCGTCTTGCGCTGAGCTGGAACGCCAGCATATTATCCCTCACCATCACCTTGCTCAAGGGAGATTTGGACCCCGAAAAGATGCCGAGCCATCGCATCGCTGTGGCCTCGTCGGATAGCAGCAGGCGCGCCGTGGCCGCTTTGGGCGGTTTGGTGATGTGCAGCGGCATGTAAGGCGGGCCTCTTTGCAATTCCCTCGATGCTCTGCAAATGGACCTTCTCAGCTCTCGCATGGATGCCGCCAACGGCACATTGAGGACGTCGAGAATGCATGGCGCTTCGAGCGGACGAAGGGGCGAGACGTGGCCCTCCAAAGGTGTGACGGGCATTGGCACGCCGAGGTGTTCCGGCCTTGGTTGCGGTGGAGGCCTCGGCGTGTATTCGGCTTGAAGGCGCTTAGAGACCTTGCCAATCGCCCTTTTTGACTCATGCTCCGCCCCATTGAAGGGTTTCAGAGGGCCCTTTTTGATGGCCTTGCTACCATTCCCATTTGATTGCGAATTGCCAAGGGACGGCTGAGCTTCTGGCGGCACCCACCAGTATGGCGCGCCAGGTGGTTTGCCAACAGCAGGTAAGGGCGTGTTCGAAGAGAGCGTGTGCCTTCCGCCTCTGCCCACGTCGGTTCGCAGCTTCGCATTGGCCACAGTGCTGTCGGAAGGACGCTGAGGGAGAGTGTAGCCCGCCGGTCCAGTCTTCAGGTGAATTGTCGAAGGCTTGGAAGAGGAGGAGGCGTTGTCATCCGAAGAAGATGAGGCAGGTTGCGGCCTCGCCCGCGACGTCTTCATTCTCGACATCGCAACAGCTCGGTTGGAGAAGATGATGAGAAGGACGAGGGCTTAGCGAATCTAGCTTGAAGATCGTGCGAATATCCGTACTACAGCTTGAGGTACAAGACGCTCGTCTTTATCATTGGAGGTCTACGCTATGATCGGCGCGAAAAGTCCTTCGCGAAGGTCCAAGGATCTCCTTAGCTCCACTCCCCTTGAGCTGGTGGTGCGAATCGTGCAGAGCCAACCGCACTCCAATGCTGCCTTTCCATGCAAAAGCCGCGGTTGGCTAGAGTCGCGAAGCTGAGTATTGAATGCGCTGAGACTGCTCCTCTTGCCCAGCGCCCCAATCTGGCATGTGTACGGCAGCAGCAGCGACCCGAACTGTATGGCAAATTTTGCTGAACTTTTGTTGGGCGAAGAGAAGCTTTGCGAGGGTATCTGCACCATACGAGACACTTCCTTTGGCGTAGTCAAATCTGCAGAACGGCGGCGCAATTGGTGTCACCATCAGCCGCTGGTGCTCTCGAAAGTCGATGTGTTGGTCATGATCGCGGATCACTGGTCACTCTATATATAGCTGAGTCTCGTCGGCAAGCAAAAGAGCGGGTTGGGCAAGCTCGAGGAACTGTGAGCGGGTCCTTCGAGGTGCTATAGCTGTGCTGTGCTGAGACGGGCAATGAGGACAGACTACGGTGAGAGCCCAGCAGACTCCTGACTGGAGACTCGCGTGACTGGTCCTTCAATTTGAATGTCAAGCTTCGAATATGTGGAGGCGAATGAAGTCTGTTTGTAGAGGCAGAAGTTACATTTGACATTCAGTGATTCGGAGATTGCTAATTG